GGGGCGATATGCTGACTCTGTAAACCGCTTAGAGAGGGCTGAAAGCCCTATGAAGCGGTATATAAGTCTAACTGCTATTGCTATTGCTATATGCAACCAAGGAAAACCTATGCTGGATCTTAGTGGGATGGTGTAGGACACCGATTGCATTCAGACAAGAGCTGTTCCCACCAATATCCTGCCCCACTAACTCAGTTTAGCCTTGTTTATAGTAGCGTTTCTCAACTTCACAAACTTTTAAGATGGATGGACTTCCAATTTCCAGAATTCTGGAAGTTGTAGTCCATCCATCTTAAAATGGATTTTTCGTGTGATGGAGAGAGAATTATTTTCACTGCTCTGTTTCTTCTTGATTTGTGCTTTCAGTTTGTTGGTAACCAGCGGGCCCCCGGACAGCGGACTTCAGATTTGGCGAATGGAACCAGATGAAACAGGTGTGCCTCCAAGAAACTACTCCACTTCCCAATTGGGTTTCAACTTTAGGACGGCCAGACCCAACTCACAGTTTGCAGGGACAAGGACGAAAGGTTTTCTCGCCCCCACAATTTAATTAGTTTGCTCTTCTAAAGAAGATACCCAGAGTCCTTTTCCATAAAGTAAATTCCTCACAACTGTTAGCATAAACCAGCGTGTGAGAAACTCAAAAATGAATAGACTTCAATTCTCAGAATTCCCCAGCTAGCTATGAGACACACTGGCACAAACAATGCTAATTCTGTGAATTTTGAAGGAATATCTGGTTTGATGAAATGAAAGCCACCTTTAAAAAAAAAGTTTTACAGATTGCAGATTAATATAGTTGGAAGGGACCTTGTAGGTCATCTAGTCCAACCCCCCCCAACTCTGTTTTGATGATAAAGAGGTTTCATAATGTTTGTACATCTGTGGCATCTTTGCCATTCTTCTCCTTTGAAGTCACAAAGAAAGAAGGAATTGCTTTTTTTCTAACCTTCCCTTTATAATTCTTGACTTTGAGACAAAGGTGCAGCTCACCAATGCTCAGAGGCTGACATTTCTCTCTCTTTTTTAAAATAAATTTTATTTATACAGTTTCTCTTTGTATACAAAAAGTGCTTAGGGAGCAGCGTACTGTCTGAGTCAATTTGTTTACATAGCAATATTAAACGCCTACTGTAGTTTCTACCTCTAATATCTAACCGTTGGTAAAACAAGTCCCAAGTTTGAAAATATTCTGTGTCTTCCTTTTCTTTTATCTTCAGTGTTAGTTTATCCATTACTGTCCAGTCTAATATTTTAAGAGCCGAGGTGGCGCAGTGGTTAGGGTGCAGTACTGCAGGCCACTTCAGCTGACTGTTATCTGCAGTTCAGCGGTTCAAATCTCACCGGCTCAAGGTTGACTCAGCCTTCCATCCTTCCGAGGTGGGTGAAATGAGGACCTGGATTGTTGGGGGCAATAGGATGACTCTGTAAACCGCTTAGAGAGGGCTGAAAGCCCTATGAAGCAGTATATAAGTCTAACTGCTATTGCTATTGCTATTTTTTAAAAATTATTTCTTCTTCTGTGGGTGTTTCCTCATTTTTCCACTGTTGCACAAAATGCAATTCTTGCTGGTGTCAAAAGATGTAAAATTAAATATACATTGCCTTTATCATATTTCTCTGGCAATATGCCCAACAAAAATAATTCTGGCTTATAAGCTATATGCTGCCTTAACATTTTTTCTAACCATAACCATTGTCCAAAATATTTTTGCTTTTGGACATGTCCACCACATGTGATAATATGTACCTGAAGTTTGATTACATTTCCAACATTTAGCAGACTTGTTTTTAAACATTTTGTCAGTGGTAAGTACCACCTATAAAACATTTTATACAGGTTTTCCTTATATGTAATGGCAGAGGCTGGCATTTTCCTTGATGCCAGTATGATTTCAGCCAGGCACCCGGTAGAATACCCAGGAAAAAAAAGCTGAGTTGTGATCTCTAAAGTGAGAGAAATTACAGAAAAGTGATGCTTTGGAAACTATAGGCAGTTTTTAACTTAACAAGAATTTGTTTGGTAACCATTCAACATTACAATGGCCCTGGAAAAAGTTATGTACAACCGCTCCTCGCACTTATGACCATTGCAGCATCCACAAAGTCACATGATCCAAATTTGGATGCTTGGCAGCTGGTGTGTATTCATAACAGTTGCGGTGTCCCCAGTGATTGCCAATTGCGACTTTGCCACAGAGCTTGTGACAAGCGAAGTCAATGGGGGGTAGCTGGATTTGCTTAATGACCTTGTGATTCGCTTAACAACACTGCAAAAATTATCATAAAATTGAGCACTTAATAACCACTTTTCTTAACGGGGGAAGTTCGGGTCCCAACCGCATTCGTACGTTGAGGAGTACTTCTAGATGGAAATGAAAGTCTTGTGGAAGTTCTTATTTCTTTCCTCTCTTCCATCCTAGATATGATTAAGCTACTGAGTGTCATCTCTCCCACCAAGGCAGAAGATACTTCCTGGTCCAAAATTGCAACCAGCTGTGCCAAACCGGCTTGCGTCCTCCACGGGCAAAGAATCTGCAATCTCCAAATGACGGAAATTGAATCAGAGAAAAGTCCTTGGGTGGCTGGTAGGCAGTTTGTTTGAGAACCCTCTCCAAAACCCTTTCTTAGGAAGAGAGCTTCCCAAACGGTTAGAAATAGGGAGAGAGGCTGATTTTTTCTTCTTATTATTTCTGTTCCTCTCTGCTTTTTTATCATCATCATTTTTTAATGACCCCATAATCCCTGGCGGAATGGAATCTGGGCACCTGAATGGAGCTAGCAGAGTTTACTGGCCAGATGCCCTTCCTGTCACCAATGTGGATTTCTGTTCAGCAGATATATTCTCATTGTACCCAGAGAGAGAAATATCTGCCTCTACCTAGGACTGAACCCATAGTCTCCTTATTGAGGGGCGAGCAGGAAGGGGGATTTATAAATGTGTGGTTTATAGATTTATTTCTTTATTTGATTCTTATCCCACCTTTTTTGCTTTATAAGTAATTCATGAGAACAAACATAGGCAACACATCCTTCTCCTATTCTCCCCACAACGATCCTTTGAGGTGGGTTCGGCTGAGAGAGAGTGACTAGGCCCAAAGTCATCCATCCGACTTTTCTGCCTAAGGCAGGATTAGAACTCAGAGTCTCTTGGTGATGTGGCCCAAAGACATCCAGCCGGTTTTCTCACCTAATGTGGAACTAGAATTCACAGCCTCCTGGTGATTGCTCAAAAGTCACCCAGCTGGCTTTCATGTCCTAAGAGAGACTAGAACCTATCATCTCCTCATGATTGGCTCAAAATTACCATATTTTTCGGACTATAAGTCGCACCGGAGTATAAGACACGCCTTAGTTTTTGGGGAGGAAAATAAGAAAAAAACTATTCTGCCTCTGCCTACTAGTATCCATGGTATTCATCTAGCTAGCGTCCTGTCAGTGTGTGAGAGAGTTGAAGGCTGTTTGGAAACAAAACAGTATTTGCTGTGTGAGCAACAAGGAAGGAGAGAAGCAAGGAGCCTGGGCGTGGCTTGCTCTGTACTAAAGCTGCATGCTGTGCTGATACCTGAAACTAAAACTGAAAGTGAAACTTCTCTGCTGCACTACCCCATTGGAAAACCTGGTTTTGGTATTGAATATTTATATATAAAGAGAAGTTATTGAATCCTGCTGAATCAGTTACTTGTGTGTGCTTTCTGAATTGGATTGCTGCTGCAGACTCTCATACCTCCTTGCAGCAAATAGCGAACAGCCAGGTCAGCTTCAGCACATATTGCAGCCTGATGAGCCGCTGATTGGTGGGTGGATCGGCCTCCCGGAATGCCCCCAATCAGCTGTTCCAAACTGCAGGGATTGCCACAGACCATCGCCTCCTCCGTGCCTCCCATTTTTGGCTACACTCGGTATATAAGACGCACCCAAATTTTCACCCTCTTTTAAGGGTGGGGGGGAAGTGTGTCTTATACTCTGAAACATACGGTAGTTTTTTGGAGGAGGCATCATTTGAACGCCAGTTCCTTGTGGCAGAATTCTCACCCACAACCCAACTCAAATTTCTATTCTTTCCTCTTTAGCCTCTGCCAGCCCTGACAAAATTGCCAGTCTGGACTTCCTGGATGAAGCCACCGCCGTGGTGTGTGGTGCCAAAGGGCAGCTGTTCCTTGTGGACTTCCGGCAACAGCAGGGGATTCTGGGAGCGCTCGAGGAGGCTCGGACCCCTTGGGCCCCGACGGAGGGGCTGAGCTGGTGTGCAGGAGTTGGCTCTGGAGAAACTCCACTGATTGCCCGTCTCTCCTCGGGCGGCCTTGTTGTGTTGACGGACATCAGGCACCCTTCCCACCCCCTGAAAATGGCCCAATGCTGCGTCCCCATCCCTAATCTCTCTGGGGCAGACTTCCTGTCCATCAGCTTGGCTCCTGTATTGGGCGACAACCTGGCGGTGTCAGGTAAGATGATGTGGTCCTTAACCTTTGCAATGCCGCTTGCTGCCATCAGCCTTATGGGGACTGCAGGGGTGGTTGGTGTGCAAAGGGGAGGCCGGCGCAAGGAACAACCTCGATGAAAAGCAGGCAGAATTTGCAGAGGGTGTTCTGACCGAAACCTCCCAAGAGCAAGCAAACTCCTTGTCCCGACAAAAACCCCTTTTATTGATTGACTGTGAATTCTGCTCATTCACATCCAGCAAAGTCTTTCGAGGGAGGATTTACAGTCACAGACCTTATCTGGCTTGGAGAGCTGCCAGGCCGAGATCTGCAAGAGCCAAGGTGGCGCAGTGGTTA